TTCACGGTTGTCCCACGGGTTTCCATTTTCTGTGAGCTTTTCTTTCCTTTTGAAACGCATTCTGTGAGTAACACCAGAGGAAAAGTTGGAAATGAATAGATTCATGTTTAGAAATGCCGATTTGTTCCATGTCTTTTACCATAGATTCCTCATTCTGCCCAATTTTAACCGCGACATTATGATTGGGACTCTCCTCATATGTGACGCTAAGTGGGATTAGACAGCTTTTGCGAGTATTTCTTTTTCCTTCGAAAACAATGTTTCTGGTTGTATTCTGTTGAATCTCAAATCATGTATAAGTCAAGAATAACATTCAAGAAGTCGGAAAAATATTTCGGTGAATACCGTTTCTTATGCTACAATGGTGAACATTATTGCATGAGATTGATAAGTTGATCATTAAATTTGCCTCTGCATCACTTACGGGAAGCAGTAAATCTGATTTGCTGTCGAGAAAACAGAAAGTCGGGAAGAAATTTTACACCGAATGGGTAGAAGATTTTTTTAAATACTGTTATGAAATACTGATCTTACAGATTGCAAGCTGTTGTCTAACCCTACTTTGTTTCATTCTACAACCTTCATCTTCGAAGAATTTTATGTGAACCTATTGTCTTAATTACTCGTGTACCGTCTGTTCTTTTTCCTTTTAAAATTTGGCATGAAAGCGGAGGGTGTGTGCCATGCATGGACCGTTTCTTTACGTTAATAAGAAATTCAATTGTCTTTCATTGAAATCGGGTGGTACACGAGTAAATATGGAAGGTTGTTAGTACGTTACATGCTAGTTACAGTATTCGTAGCGTGTGACTAGTGCGACAGGTGCTCACGTTAGTCTCAGACTTCCGATCCAAATACTGTAGTTGGAGCGTCAATGTTTGAGCATGCTTTTCTTTTTCAGGTGATGAGCATTACCTACGATCAGTTTGTATCGTCCGCCAAGAATTTCGCGTCGAATCTAGNGCATTACCTACGATCAGTTTGTATCGTCCGCCAAGAATTTCGCGTCGAATCTAGATGTCCTCCGAATAGGTTGGAGACTGGAAACGACGCGTAGACCAGTGACAGGCGACACTGTGGAATATCTGAGACTCGTCACCCTAGACCCTGACGGTGTGACGAACGACTACAGTGTTTTCTACAGTGAAAGCTACTCTGTGCCAGTGTTGTATTTATCGCGATACAGTGATTCTGGTGAGCTCGTCGCACCTTCCGGTTGTGAAGTCTGTTTGACCCCGACTGACCATCCGATATCCGGTGCGCCGGTTTTGTTTTTCCATCCGTGCCGCACGAGTGAATGGGCGGTTCTCGCGCCGAAGTCGGATGCGGGATTGAAGTATATTTCTTCGTGGATGAGTGTTGTTGGACAATTCCTTGGATTGCGTGTCCCGCTGTCGTTGTTCGAAAGAGGGGACACATTTTGAAGTCGTGCCATGGACGCTACGGTGCCCGTATTGATGATGTTCATGACGTTCGCTAGCTTTACAATCGTGGAAGCGTCTCGGGGAGACACTTCTGGATTTTTCAAGAACTGTGTTCAAAGATGTCAGACTTTCAACTGTTCGAATGGTGAGTGTTTCGAGTGCATGCTTTGAACTTTTTTTTTTGTATCCTCGTGAACTTGGTCGAAGAAAAAGTACTGTGTACATGTACTGTACTGATGTATAACAGTAACGAGGGTTGTTGGTTCATGACTTCAGTGTCATAATTTTTCGAGTATCATAGAATGATAGAGATGGACGTAATGGAGAGTAATTTTTGAAGTGTTGCTCACCCATGTTGAAGTGTAGTTTGAGAGTTGAATTTGCGCTCTTGTCAATTAAAGAAAATGAAGCTTTGAATGTTTCATGAATTATTAAGACTCAGTCCAACTGGTTCCGAATGTTTTAATTATTGAGAACATGTTGAGTGAACATTTTGCTGATGTAGCCACCCCGCTACGATGAGAAAAATGTTTTCCGGATTTCTTTGTTGTTTTGGATCTTGTAAAGTTGTATTCGAGCAGCTGGACTTTACCCTAGTGATATAGAAACTCGTGCACACAAGCAATTTAATTTCAATGTAAAATATTGATATAGCTTTTGAACACTCCATTTTAAATGACCATTCAGAATTTTTTTGATTTTTTGAATCGTTGAAATAACGAGTGCTTTGCTTGTGATTAATCTTATAATCGTGGCCGTCAGTAAAACCTGTCTCATTTATTATTTTTTAACAGAGTTCGTATTGACCGAATTCTATGAGCGGCAACCAATTCACTACCAGATTTTAGGCTGGGATTGCGTAGAAGAATGCAAGTATGATTGCATGTGGAAAACGTCCGCAGTTTTCAAGCAAAAAGCCGGGTACATTCCTCAGTTTTATGGAAAGGTATGAGTGCGATATTATTTGATGTAGCAGTGAATGTGCAATAATTTCTCGTTATTCCCTTGCTGAATAGTACGTCTGACAAATTCTTAACGTCATTTTCTGCAGTGGCCGTTCGCAAGATTCCTTGGGATTCAGGAACCTGCTTCGACCTTGTTCTCGATGCTCAACGGAATTGCTCATGTGTTCGGATTGTCAGCCTTGTTGAGACAAGTTAAAAGTGAGGCGCCGTTTAGAGGCTGGTGGATTGCGAATGGATTGATCATGATTCTATGTTGGGTCTTCTCGACCATATTTCACACCCGTGATACGCCATTTACGGAAAAGCTGGATTACGCAGGGGGAATGATTGCGAACGTGGCTGCGCTTACGGCCGTCACGGTTCGTCTTGTGGGCATTGAGAGACTTACTAGGTTAGTGCAGTACATAATTTTTTATCCAATTCCTTATTTCATCAGGAAAAGAGGAATACAGTAGGATTCGTCACTCCTACTTTTTTGCGCTATTATGATATAATCTATTCTAAGACGATCAGCTTCTAAAACGATTTTTTTCAACTAGCAATTAAGGTGAATTGAATACAATGCACAGTTTCGTTCATGTGATAATACAGGAACTTAATTTTTTAAATTTTAGAATTACTCCATAGGTTCACAGTACTGTTCAGTATTTCCCCCAACAGTGCTTTGGAACAACAATGCAAAGAAAGGCTAACTTCGGGTGAAATCAACCTTTCCAGCATTATTAAGACTCACGTCTCTTTGTAATTACTGTATTTAGCTCGAAAAAGTTCGATAGATATTTACGGTACAGTACTCCCATTTGCTGTTGGACTGTCAGGTATGTTCATCTGGTTCCGTTAGTGCTTTAACCTTATTCTTGGTAGTACAGTATATACAGTAGATGTCAAAAATTATTACATTCAATGTTAGCTCGAGAGAAACCCTCACTTGTTCCAAAAATTCAAGAAATATCTTCCCAATTATATAGAATACCATATATCCATTTATTGAATGCATTATATCCATGTATCCTTGACGATTTTCGTGACATCCGTAATTTCTTGCGCGTCTCGCCATTGGCTAAATCGTTCTCCATTGCAGAACGGGAACCATGATCATGCTTGGTGCTGGATGTTCATTCGTTTACCGTCACCTCAAGTTTCTATTTGGTGTGAGCTTTGATTATGGATATAATATGAAGGTCCATCTTGCCATTGGTGAGTCTTGGACTTCTTCTTCGTGGGGTTGATTGATTTTGGCAACTCTTGCTGAAATTTGAAGGCGGATTTCATGTGATTGGATGGTTGTGCTGGGCGTTTCTGAATCGTAGTACTTGTCCTTACGCTTGGAAAGGCGCCGCAGTTAATTTTCTCATGGCTGCAACCATGGCTCTCGAGCTGCTGGACTTTCCACCCTTTCTGTGGACGCTTGACGCCCATGCGCTGTGGCATTTATCTACAATCCCTCTGATTCCTCTGTGGTATTCGTGAGTGTCGATCAAATTTACAACTGATTTTCTCAATATTGACAGCACTTTTTTTAAGATTTGTAATCGATGACTGCAGCTTTCTCCAGAAGCAAAAAGAACTGGAAATCGAAACAATCCTGAAGAAGTTCTTATGATTTTTCTTCGCGATTTGGTCGCGTGAGTATATTAAATAATGCGTGTTGGAATAAACGAGCAATGAAAGATAATTGGAAAACCTTTCATTTCTGAGGTCACAGACAATAGCGAGCAAGACAACGACAGAAGGAACGAAATGAATAGTTTTAAAAAAAGATTATCACAGCCTTCGCCGATCAACGATTGGAAATTATGATTGAGAACTATAAATTACATCTCTTCTTTGGACACAGAACAACGCGGTAAGGAGTGAAATTAATGTCACACCTATTCCAGATATTAAAATACCTACTTCTTGCTCAGTCGATGGAAGGATGAATATTCTTGCCGTTGGAATGCCGGAGTAACTCTCAGTCCAGGTGGAATAATTGTTCTGATTCCAGTCATAACCTGTTGACAGAATCAAGTTAACACCTGCTGAGCGAAAGGAAAATAAAGTTTTGTTCACCTTTAATTTCGAATGCTGGGCTCATTGCGAGGTGAAAAGCGACATTCGACGAAATGCAGGAGTTCCTGTCGTTCGGGTACATGAACCAGTCGTATTCGTGCATCTGTAGACAGTTAGCACATATACACAACAACTTTTCAACGTTTGAATAATCGAAAAAATTCGAAGTAAAGTATCCTAGAATCTCAAAAATTTAAACGAACAATGCACAACGTTCAGATAATGTAAACTGAACAGTAATTTGTTCATACTTGGCAATACTGCAAAAATTAGTCAACTCTCATTCAAACTACAGTATTTTTCTTCCGTCCGTAAGAGTAACTCACCACGTCATTTTCGCTCTGCTTGCATTCTTTCTGCGAAACATTCGGAACTTCACTTCCCAGAATCGACACAAGTAATCGTCGTGTGAAGTTCACAACATCGTAAACAAATCCTGCCAAATTTCCCACAGACGTGTACAAGGGAAATGGTACGCCAGGCATCAATCTGGGTCGATAACGTTGCGATGAAATGTTGTAGAATAAGCTACAATTGGAATCGCACAAATAGCAATCCAACATGGCGGCCATCTGTAATCAAAGGCGATAATGAGAACCTGTGGCTGACTGACGAACATTTCCAAAAAGATACCTTATCTCGGTTGGGGGACGCAGGAGGTGCTACTCCGAGAAGATTGGCTAGACCTTTCGCCACAATTGTGGATACTGTTTCCAGTCTGTTCAACAAGTCCTCATGAACTGTATCAGTACCACACGAGTAATTCAAAGTTGCTTCGGGTGTTTCCTTAAAGCTGTGGTAGTACCTAAAATTCATTCAAATGAAATTTTCGCTTTTTCTCACCAAGAAAGGATTTATTTTTTTTAAAATTTTAATTAAAGGATGTGGCAGGGACAAAAAAGATGAATTCTATGCCATTGTAATTAATTTATAGGAAATACTTTGGAAACACTAAAATATATCGCGAAACAATGAAAAATTCCTGAAGACTTCAGCGTCATTCACAGGAACACAAAGAATGCATTAATATTTTTAAGAGCTTTTAGGGAAGTTCAAGGCAACTGTCTGTTGGCACAATAGCACTTGAGACATCATCTGACAGTTGAGTAAGTTTAGAAGTCTAATACAGGGCCAAAAGTTGAAAAAGCTTGAGAAAAGCAATTACGTTTCTCGTAATCTCTCGGTAACTGCTTCAAGCTAATACCTTTTTAATAACGTGAAAAGAAATATCAAAACAGAAATTGTATTACTGAACATTTGAAAGGAAAAGGAATGAACCTTATTCAACTTTCAAATGATATTCAATTTTTAAATAGCTTTTTTAACCTTTCATTTAACTTTTTCTTCCTGAATTTGTCAGCTAAGTTGTTCCCAAGAAATCACGAGAAAAATATTCTACTTTTCTCATCCACTTGGTACATTGCTTCTGTTTCGGTCACATCTTCTACTTACTGATTGACAAACCGGTCATTGTAACCGGAAAGAACAACCCCAGCAATTTTTTTGTTCTTCTTCAAGAAAGTGTGCAATGAACTAGGAGGAAGACCGGATGTTCCACTACTAGCTTCCTCGACAACCAAACCCGAGCCTGTCGCAGCATCTTTCAGTTTAGTTTTCAGCTCACTGGTCTGCGTAGTGTAGAAGACACGCGTGAGAATGATTAACAAATCTTACAGACGGAACTTGAAAACTCACTTTCTGATTAACTGAGGCGTCGCTTTGAGAAGTTGGCTCGAAATGGACAAATAATTTCTTGGGATCCCCCGTCCCGACCTGGTCCAGTTCAATCCAACGACCGATATGATTTATCTTCATGAGAGCCATTGCATTCATCGACGGATCAGTGCTCGCAACGGACGGAAAGGCGTTGTTCTCCATGTCATACACCATCTTACTGGACCCGATATACTCCGTCGATTCCTTCAATGTAAAACTTGATTTCAGTGAATTGATTCGATTATTCAAATTCTTGGGGAAAAATTAAATCCGCCAGAAATTAAGAACGAAAGATTCTTCACCGTTTGCTTAACAGGTAACATGAAGGAAAACAAATCAGTCACGTGATCTTATGGACTCCCATCAAACTTAAATTCAAGTACAGTACTGTACATTATCTTATACATACTACATGTACTGAAAAATACCTGAAAATGAATTATGATCCTTCTAGCTATCTAGCAGTTCGATTGACTTGAAAAATTTAAAATGCCTGCCACACTCATGAAACAGCAATAGCGATCGAATTGACGATGAAAAATCGTGTTCGAGATAGAAAATTTATATTCAAATCAATATTAAACGAACTGAAGTTGTTCAACGAATAAAAAAAAAGTTATCAAATAAGTAGTTCAGTCGCTGGATTATTACTTCGCTTGCGATTCATTCCTGGCATACTACAGTATTTCCAGAAAGAATCAAGCGTTCCAGATGACGCTATGATAATTCATTCGAAATTTACATTTGTACGCTCAAGGATGTACACTTGCGTTGCACAATTCAATAAATTGAGAAAGAGGCAATGGACATTCAAGCAAAAACTTTGCCGAATGGTTAAAGTCGGAAGAAAAGCAAGTCGGAACAAAAGAAAAAGCTGCTTTACCCCATTGAAGAGCATCAAATGGACGAACTCGTTCAGTTTCTCCAACTCTGTTCGGATAGAACTCAGGGATTCGGCAATCGCCATAAAGCTAACAATCGAAGTCAC